TCAAAGACAAGTTCAGCCCAGCACAGGGACTTAACCTCTTTAATACTGGTTCAGCAAACTGTTTTGCAGTGACCAGCTGCAAGGCGGATGTCATTGCAATACCTTGAGGATTCTAAAGTGCAGATTTCTCTGTCAAAAGTCTGTCAGTGCTTCATTGGGTTAGGTGGGAACACATGGCACATGCCTACAGGAAGCATTGCAACTGTTGGTTTTGAGGCTGTTGAGGATATTCAAGTGTAGAATTAATCACTTTGATTTATTAAGAATGTAGATCTGTAATTTTACTGAGGAGGGGTCTTTCAAAGGAAATTCAGTCTGAACTGAGACATTGAGCAGATGGGCCCCATTTTCAGGACTGCCTACACAGTACAGCTGAATTGGGTCTGGACCCTTTGTCCACTAAGGAACAAACTCTGCAGCCCCATTCGTTGTTCTGGTGCTATGTCTGTGTGTAATGAGGGTCATTTACTGAACAATCCCAAAAAAGCTTTTCCATGCTTGAAGTATTGACATACTGAAGCTCATATAGCCTCCTTCAGGTACTGTAAGAGTGCCTGAAGTCAGGCACTACAAAATGTTTCCCCTGAAGGAATAGAATGGAAAGAGGAAACCATAATCGGAGCATATCAAGAACAAGGAGAGTAAGTGGAATAATGCCTGATTCTTTCACCATGCTCTAAAAATGTACTTTTTACTGTGCGTGAGCAAAAGCTTGAGAGAAAAATCCCTCCAGACCTTCTGCCACAAGAGGTTGCTAAAGAGTGTCTTGGCTAAGCTAGAAATGCTGGCAGTGGCGAATACCAAATTTGGTCACAAGAGCAGGTAAAAACAAACAAACAAGCTACCTTTGGTTCAAGTAATTTCTGCTAAAAAAAACTCAGTACAGTAGAAACTCTGCATGGATGCACAAGCAAAATTGTACTATGTTACTACTGACCTTCCTATAGCTGTAATGCAAAGTTTCAGAAGTTTATAGCTAAACATGGGTAGCAGAGACCACCTCATACTTTTCAGGTTAAACGCCTCAGCTCCTGATGCTTTGCAAGGTCTGTCAACAAAACATGTCTAAGCAATTTAGTCTCTTGAGCTTGGAAAAAATCCTCCTTCATGGACCAAGATATTATGGAAAAGATTTGTAATATAATCAACATGACAAGACATCTATATGGTATGTCAAGACACTTGTGGTTGAACACAAAGGGGGTTATTTCACAAAGAAGACAATAGGTGAAAAAAAATGATGGGGGAAAATGATAAGTAGTTGAGACATTAATTTATGTAGCCTAAGACTCTGTGTAGAGCACATATTGTGTCTGAATAAACTGAAATCTGAGCAAACAGCTGCTTCACCGGAGCAGAACTGAGCAGACCCTTTGTTCACAGATCTTGTGCTCTGACCTTTGGATGATCACAAGTCTTGTGTAACATCATTTAAGATGTGAAAGACGTTGGTCTGTGGTTTTCCAGATTCAGAACTGAAACACATTTCTCACAGAGGGTGCCAGTAGTTGGCTATAGCATCTCAACAGCAAAGATTGATAAAAGCAATTATTTGCATATATTCTGTTTCTCAGGTTAACTCGCTCTAAGGATGAGCTTAATTTTTCATTGTTTAATACTCCTTCATAACACATCAATTTGCACATTAATTTTTGCAATCCTCTTGACTTACTGTGTAATTGTCTATTCAAGTAGGACTGACTGAGTCAGATCTGACTGGTGCAAGTTGAAAAAGCAGTGATCTCCATAATCTTCTTGTAAGCAGAAGTAACACTCCTATAAGGCACATCAGCATCTTGATGAAGGGCTGATGCTACTGTTCTTCAAGACTAGATAGAATGAGTTTTCTCATTTGCCTCTTCCCACACACATTATTATCCTCTTGCACAACCCAAATCTAAAAGGAACACCATTATGGTTTTGTTAGATTTACACTACCCTACAAGCACTGCTGCAAGATTTTTAAATTAACACTGCACATCAAAACACAAAAAATAAACTCAGTGCAAGACTTCGTCTAAATGTACAAAGAACCTGCTGCTATAGGGTAGATCTCCTGCCCAATGCCTAAGCTTATCCCTGTAACAGGCATATTTATACTACAAAGTGAGGAGGGAGACCCCTTCACATCACAAATTCTCCACCCCATGACACTGTAAACAGAAATGCTGAGAACATGTAGTAAAGAGCTACAGGAAATTTGGGAGGAGAGATCCCGTAGGAGGTTTGCCACATGTTGCAACTGCTTCCTAAGCTATGTTTATTTATCTTTTTTTTTTTTTTTTTTTTTAAATATGCAAAGCGGTAATGAGATCTTGAAAAGTCAGTGTGCAACCTTCTCCCATTAGGCACTTACCAGATGAGCAATGTTTGACAAACCCATATTAACTGTAGAACAAACTCACAAGCAACATTTCACTGTCGTCCTCAACATCTCCATAAAGCTGCTGTGGCAGCAGTGGTTTCTTCTAGGTGAAAAGCTTTAGTCCATGGGGGTAGGGGGAACACAGATGCTTGTTTCTCCACCACATTAACAAAAACGTCCCAGCATTTTCAGTTCAGATTTGTAGAAGAAAAGGATATTATAAAACCTAGAAGAAGCTAGTAATTCATGAACAAGAATATTTAGACCTACTTGAAACCCAGCTGAGATATCCCAAAACACAATTCCTTTATTATACAGACAGGAGTCTCACCAGATTAGCAAATAATCTAATTTTAACCTGCTGACAAGTCTATGGGATCAGCAGTAACACTAGGACTACACCAACTGACTTACTGTGCAATTAAGGTGAATCACATAATTGCTTTCTTCCTTGTTTTTCTTATTTGCAAAGCAGAGGGAAATGCAATACTTACCTCTCTAATACAAAGTGGGGACAAATTCATTATTAAGTATGTATCCAGTTTTGAATCTTGGACCTGTCTAGAAATCTGACTGTACTGATCTCTGGGACAAAGATTTCATTGAAATATAGAAAGGAATGCGAGGAAGAAATACCCCTAGAACGAAGTATTCTATAAAGGGAGCGTTTCTCATAGGATTCTTCCCTTCCTTGGTGATTCATGACCTTGGACTATCATTTGTATTCTGACATTTCCTAAGAAAACCTGATTGCAGCAGCAGCAACTTGAGAGCAGAACTCTTCAGAATCTCCACCTGCCCCCAGGTGTGTATTAGAGCCTGCTGTACCATGGGAAAAAAACCTCCAAAAACAAAACCACATAAAACTTACTACAGGAAGTTGCAAATTTCTCCCAGGGTAATTGCTACTGCTTCACAGCTACATTTCAGTGAAGGAGTAGAAACAGCAGAGAGAAAAATCAATCTACTTAATAGTCTAATGAGGTGCACAGTTTAAAAACAATTTGGGACAGACATATCACCTAGAACAGCTTTCCATGTCCCTTTTTTCTGCAACTGTGCCCCCCACCCCAAGCAAGAGAGATGCTTAACACAAAGAGGTGAGGACAGCAGCCTACTGGAAAACACACTGCATAGGCTGCTCCTATAACTGTCAGGTGCAGCCTCATGAGTTAAATCAATTTACTCCCTTCCTTGAGCTGGTTCAATAGGACTATTATAGTCACAGTATTTACTGTTTGTGGCAGTGGGAAAGGTATGAAGTGGGAGTTTTACAGGGACCCATTCTTGATTCAAGACTAGTCAGCATTTTAACTGATTTAGGAGTCTACACATCAAGAGCAAAGAAGTCGTGTGGGCAGACTGCAAGTGCAAATTCTGCAGGACTATTAAGTTTAAGATGCAATATAAAAAAAAAAAAAGTATAACCCCAGTAAGATTAAGTTGGTATAATATACTGAAGGCCAAAACCAAGGGAAAAAAAATAAAATCACACTGTAAATCAGTGGCTGAAATATTAGGATAATTATTAACTTTGGAATGATTTAACCAAAACAGAAAGGAACAAAGCATTACTGGTTGCAATTCTAGTAATTAGGCTACTTTGCTACAGTTTCAGTTTGAATACTCCTCTGCTAATTATAAAGAGCACAGAATTCCACTGTCAATTACATCATTCATGAGAATTTGAACGTCAGCTTCTTACATACTAAAATTGTAGCAGTGAGTGAAACGAGCAGGAAATGGGTGGAAAATAGTGCCAGAATGGAAGAAAGCTCACTAGAAAAAAATCAGTATGGGACAGACTTAGAAACCACCTCTCTCAGGATGTTCAAGGCCACCATAGGTCATACACCTCAAATTTTGCCTGCCCCTTAGTGGGGGTAACAATTCATTAATCAATAATATAGGCCAAGTGACAGCATATGGCTGCCAAACTATTCATTTGCTACAGCTCACTTTAGGGGACTGTGATTTTTAATAAAATGAATGTCTATTCAAGTGATACTAAATATTTTGGGTCAGCAAAATATCTTAAAAACTTTAAAGACAGAACACAGCAATTTCCACTTCTTTTCCCTCTCATGACTTAGCAGTAAACTAGCTTAATGCTTCTTTTAGTGACTAGATTTGCAGATTTACCTGACGTACCTCAGAAATTCCTAGAATGTATGTATCCAAGCATCTTTTCAAGGTTTTCAAAAGACTTACAGTCATAAACCTAACACTATTTCAATATATACAAGTTCAACCTTCTTTTCATCAAGTATGAAAGTAACATCTGATAAAAGATTACATGGGTTTTCAATAAGGTGTCAAAATTTTATTGAGTTCACTCAACATCTATGAGGATTCATGTAGAATATATAAAAAAATCAGTTCTTTTTATATTTTCATCTTCAACAGAAGTACAGTAAGTTTTCTGGTGTCTTGTCAGAGCATTTTCATTTGTTCTCATGCAGACAGTTTTTGGTACAAAGACAAAAAGAACTCAGTAAGTTGAGTAACTGCAGGAAATCACTGAGGTAAGAAATGTCTCTTCCTAATACTATTTTTATCCTTCTACTAGACAAGGCATTGAACATTTGTTTGGTTTGCTTATTTTTTTCCTACAATGGAGAAGAGAAGACAGGTGTTTTGTCCATAGTTTTATTTCACCAGGAAGGTTTATATAGTTCTGCATAAAGGTCATTGTATGCACAGCCTGAAGTACAAAGCTCCCTTTGAAAACTCCAGCACAAAGACACTGCATATTGACAACATTAAACAACAATGTGGGTGGTATAGGGAGAAAAAAAGATTTAAACAAAACAGCATTCTTCCTATTGGAAAAGCAGAATAAAACAAGGCACTTTCAGTAAATAAGTGAAGAAAAGAAACAAGCTGTATTAACAATTCCACAGAGCTGACCCAGAGCACTGTAACAAAATTCTGCAGTAATGAACAAGTAAAATACAAAAAGGCACTACATAAACCTCTCCCTGCAACTACCCTTTCTCAACCAATTAGCCAACTGAACTTGGCACAATGGAGTCTTAATCATAAAGTGCATCTCCTGTCTTAATACATTTTGAAAAATAGGCTATATAGCATGGGTGCGAAATCCCCATGTGTACAATATATTGAAACAAAAATACACTGCAACTAGATTCAATCTAGTTATGAACTGTGCAGGAAAAAAATATGGCTTCTTTACAAGTCTTTCCACCATTTCCATATAATCTGGAATATTTTTAAGCAAACATGAACGTATTAGCAAGTTGGTAAGAGGTAGTGTTCCAAGTAAAAGGCAAACTCACCGATTTTATCGTTACATGGGTATACAGCAAAGGTATCCCAGATTTTAAAAGCAGCATTACCAAACAAAAAGTATTACAGGCATGCTATTTTGGGATGAAAATACACAGTGTTTTGGGGGGTCTCATATTAGTTCCTTCAGCAAAAATGACCATTTAAAAAAAATGTCCAACTATTATCCCATTTTGTAAGTACTTTTCTCTTGATACTATAAGTTTTCCCATTGTATTGCATTGCATTAAAATTTCCAGAGAAATATTCTTCAACTTAACAATTTAAAACCAACACATTCTACAATCTTATTAAACGAAAGATGAGTCCGTTTTTACTTCAATGAGCATTAACTTATGGCTACAAGAATATGAAAACACAAATACCAAACAGATGAACACATCAAACCTGTCACATCAGTGGCAACATATGACATGCTAGTTAGGTGTGTTTGCTGATTGGTGTGAAGTTTTTGTCACTCCGCCAGGACAGTCAGCCAAATCGTTTATATACACTATCAAAACTTCAGCTGACTTTAGCCCTTTCTTAGACTTTAATATATTAAATATATAAAGGCTAGATAAAAACTGATATCAAAGCAGCACTGGCTATATTTCTTATGTTAATAATTTGTAAGGATGTATGTAAACATTCAATATGTGCATTCTTGCTCTTTGCTGTAAACTCTTCACAGCTGCTCCATGCCCTCACCCACAGAAGATGTCCCAAACACAAACCTGTCCCAGGTAACAGCAGCTGCTGCTGATCTACTCTTCATCAGTGCTATATGCTACTTCAGCAACTTCAATTTCTGGTACAGATTTTTCAACCAAAGAGCCACTCCAGCATGCCTCGTGGTTCTCCTTATCTGAGCTGCAACAACAGATCAATAGACTTTGTCAAATGGAAACTAACATGATTCTCCATAGTGATTTTATGCCCTCAATCCACAGAACTTTTACAAAGCTTGTTCAACTTCTACCTTATTCCAGATCTAAAATTAACTATCCTGAGGGTCTTCATGAAACATGGGATAGCTACAGAGAGGCGCAATAAGATGCCAATTTCCTCAGCTGTTCAGAATTTATGCAAGGCCCAACATTTAAAAACATACTTTATGAAAACCTGAAATGTATCAGAAGTAAAATAATACTATTTACCAGCTGTCCTCAGGCAGGGCACCCTGGTCTGCTTCTACTGCAGAAGACTCCACCTCACCACTGCACTCACTTTCTTCTCCTGACATCTGACGAGTCATTTTTCCTAAAGATAAATCCCTACAACAAATAAGAACAGAGTACCACCAATCCATACAGCAAACATTCAGCTGTTTGTTTCTGTCTGTAGAGTGTAAAGGCAGAAGATATTTATTCCTTGTTGGGCTATTAGATCAAAATTCCACTTCAACAAAGCCAAAGAGAGACCCATTTCCCTCAGGTTCATTTACCACAAGACAAGCTGACTTTCTTAAACAAGAGCATGGGTTTACTTGGTAACTTTTACAACTAAACCCACAGCAATTATTTTCAATTAAAACAACATTTAGCCAAATGTGAGTTAATTTTTATTGGCTAGTTCACTGTTTAAGCCAGGAGTAGTCAGAATTTTCTCATCAAACAGGGAAAGCATTATTTCAAATGCACTTTCTTGCTTTCAAAAGTAAGTGACAAACTGAATATGGCAGTCAGATCAATTTAAATTATTTTCCTAATGTAGCTATTTTAGATGACTTAAGGCTTACATGCAAAGATGTGACTTGTTGGTCAGCCTGGATATTCCAGACTTGACAACCCAACCAGTAAATAACATCTAAAGGGACCATAGGAATTTACTCCTTTGTTAAGGAAACCCCAAAATTACTGACTCAAAAGGTCTAGTAGGACACTGAACAGCTCAACAACTCCTCTGGGTCTGCTACAAAATCTAGCAGACCTGCACTATAAAATTGTTTATTGAAGTCCACCATTTTTTCCTTAGATTTAAATGGATAATCTGCAGCATCATTTCAGGCAAATCAGAACAAAGTTAAAGACATTAATACAGACATATGATTACTTGATCACTATGCTCTGTCAAAGCTTTAAGGACATGTGGAATTTTGCCTCAAAGATATTTTTCTGTTGCTCTCATCACCAGCAGGACATTTCACATACCCAACATTTCAAAAGCAGAAGAGAATCTTTGCCTTTTCTTTATCTTTACAGGGTTTAAAGGATTAGGAAACATAATCCCAGTTACTTCAGAGGAAAAAAAATAAAAATCAAACAACACTTTCTCAGTCATATGTACTAAACAAAAGCTTGATAATCAGCATATGAGAAAGAGCCTAGAGAAAATATTGCTTTGTATGTTATCTAAGTGGGGAAAATGGTTTCCAAGAATACATTTAAAGCTGGTGCTTGTAACTATATATAGAAAAAACCCAAACAGCTCAAAAAGATTTTTACATACCTAATCCTTCTTTCAATAGCATCTATATGGAGTTGCTTTTCACTTAATAATTTCTTCAGTGATTCAACCTCCCTTTGTTTTTCAAGCAATTCTTTTTGCAGACGGTAGTTTGTTTCCTCCAGAGTTTCACAGAAAGCCTAAAAGACAAGTTTAAGAACATGGTCCATTTAGCTTCAGTGGACTGCCTTTATTGATTTTTGCTCTAGAAATATCAACCTGTAACAGAACTGTAGCTGCTTTGCATTGATTACCATAGAGAGCTATATAAACTTTTTTCAAAGTTCTGTTCTTTACAAAACAATTCTCCTTTGCTTTGAACCATGGTTTTATTATGTTGAACTATAATGCAAATACTTTATCACATTATTCCTTTGTCTCAGAAGACACTTTAGAAAGGTTTCCTTCCTTTGATCCTCAGGCTCTAATTTTCAACCTTTTTTGCATATACAGAGCATCAACTGAGCTCTCTACATCTCTTTCCCCTGATGTAAGCTTTGCTTTCACATGATTTGGAAGTTAATTTTTAATTATCTAATTGCTCCTAAAATGCTAGAAATGTGGATAAAGTGGACGTTCTTCCCTTTCCCAGGATAAAGATGAAGTTATACAGTTCCGTATCACATTGCTGTTATAAACAGGACAATCATGAGAGTCAGAAGACCAATACAAAAACATTTTGAAGAAGTTAAATGAAATGCTGAACACACCAACTGTTCAACTACAGTAAGTACTCTGCGTTACTCTCCTGAGCAACATGAAGAGCCGATGCACAGTGCAACATCCACTGAACACAGGAAGCAAAAGAAGGGCTGGCACAGAGCCTGCTGATCTGTTACTGGAAAGAGCAAGTCTACCAACAGTAATGTGCCATTATGACTTAATAATTTATTTAATAAAGATTTTAAATGGGCTACAAACATGTAGAGGATACTATTCCCTACTTCAATTGAAGCAGACTTTTCAACTTCTTTAAAATGTTTTCCTGTAATTATACAATACAAACAAATATAGTATTTTTCAATCCAATAACCATTTCGGTATTTTTTTTTGAACTGCATTCGAAATTATTTTTTTGACTCATACAGCAAATTCATCTTAGTTGGCAGGCACTGAAGACCAATCATCAGTTAAGCCACCACTTTATTCACATCTATTAGAGCTGAGAACATGTGGCACGCAATCAATTATTCACATACCATTTTTACTGATTGCTTTCACAACCATTCCAGTGAAGCAGGCATTCTGTTTTATCCAAGCCAATTAAGTAAATTCTAGTGTATTTGGTAAAATTGTTCAGGGTTGCTGGTACACTAGCTGAAAATTTGCCATTATTTCCTTAAGAATATAATTAAGTTACATTATTTCTACCTTTAGATTTACGTACATGCAAATTTCCCTGGTCACAGAATAATAAAAAATATTCCACATGGGTTGACAACATTTTAATTGTTCTATATGAGAACTGAAAAAAATAATTTTGGACCATCTCTACTTGCAATCTGTGCATCAGCTGCCCAAGAAAAGGAACATGCTCTTTCTTCACAACTGAATAAGAAAACATCAGCTTATTCTGAAGGATGCTGTAATAGCAGAAAGGTGAACTAAAGCTGAGAAAGGCCTATCAGGGAATTGTAATGAGATATCTTGCTCCTCACAGAGCTGTACACCTGGAGTCTGGTATGGTTCCAGTGCCTAGGTGGGACCCATTTTCCTTGTAAGTTCTGAAAGGGAGGAGAGCTTTGCTTCCTTCTTCAGTGGATCATGAAACACTGATGGCTGGGAAAGGACCTGTGGAAACAACTACTAGAGATATGACAAAAAACCCCATAGCTTTAGTGAATATTTTGCCTACATTTCTGTGATTAATCTCCCATTTGTAGCAGGGGAGGTATCTGTATCTCTCCCTAAAGAGATACATATTTTGGCAAAACCTTCCTGAACTGGAATAACAGAATAAACATAAAACAACTAGAAGACACAATTTTTTTTTCATTACCAGGAAAACAGTAACAAAATATCATTTTTTGCAATGCTTTGTATGACAACAGTGCGGTGAAATGGAAGTGATTTTGAGATGCCTTTAAAAATTAACTTGAGGAATAAGTACATGAACCATAGTACTTATCCTGTAGTTGGGCACTATTTAGGAAAAGAAAAAGTGAGGGATGGAAAAAGATGCTCCTGGGTACATAACAGTTCAGGATCCTAACAGGCAGGAGGAGGGCAAAAAAGAAGGATCACAATCACGGACTTTAGGTGAGCACGCCTCTATCCCTTCAGAAATTTGCATGGAAGAAAGATTCCATGAGAAACTCCTTCGATGAGCAAGAGCAGTCCAGGAGAGCTAGTAAATATTTAAGGATCATCACTACAAACTCAATAAAGGTCCATCTCAAGAAGCAGGAAATCAAGCAAAGGTTACAGGAGGCCTGTACGGATGAGCAAAGAATGCCTAATTGAACATAAAAAGCAATGTGCTACCACTGGAAGCAGGTGACCCAGGAGTACAGGGCTGCTGTCTGATCTTACAGGGGCAGGGTTAAGAAAGTGAATGCCAACCTGGAGCTGAATCTGACGAGGCATATGAAAAGAAACAAAAGAGGATTCTACAAGTACATAATCTACAAAAGGATTACTAGGGAAGACATGGACCTGCTGCTGAATGGTGTGAGGAAACTTGTGACAAATCATACTGAAAAGTTTAAGGTACTTGATGCCATTTTTACCTATCTTGACTGGTAAGACCAGCATTCAGGAATCTCTGACCTCTGCAGCCAGAAGGGAAAACAGGGAAGGGCAAGACAGTTACCCTCAGCAGAGGAAGACTAGGTGAGGGACCACTTTCCCAAATTAGACATACACAATGCCTGACAAGTTGCACTCCTAAGTGCTGAGGGAGCTGGCTCATCTCATGCTTCTTGTACACCAGGACCCCAGGTCACATGATTCAGAGATCATAATCAAAGAAATTAAGGGACTTTAGCATCTTTCACATGAGAAGAGGATCAGAGTCTTCAGTCTGGAGAAGGCTCAGGGTGATCTTATTAATGGGTATAAATACCTGACAGGAAGGAATGAAGAAAAGGGAGCCAGACTCTTTTCAGTGGTGCCCACTGACAGCACAAGAGACAATGGGCACAAATTGAACACCAGGAATTTCCATCTGAACACACAAACCCACTTCTTTACTGTGATGGTGATCAAACACTGGAGCAGGTTGCACAGAGAGGTCATTAAGTGTGCTCTATAGAATATTCAAAATCTGACTGGACATGCTCCTGGGCAACCTGCGGTAGCTGACCTTGCTTGAGCAGGCATGTTGAACTAGGTGATCTCAACCTGTCCCTTCCAACCTTAACCACCCTGTAATAAGGCAGGGTATCCCTTGGAGAACAGAATTTTATGACAGCTGTTCCTAAAAACTTTACAGAAATCATTAACAGCCAAAACTATAACAGCATAGCTATTTCAATAGTTTGCCGAAATTCCTATGGTGGAAAAGTAACCCTGAGACTTCACAAGAGTATACATGATCAAAATCTCTATGAAAAAAGCACTTAAATTTCTTAAGTAGTTATCTAAATAATTCCTGTAATTTTTAATAATTTTCATCAACTTAAATAGATATAATGACAAGTGTTGTACAGAAATCAAATATAAACTTGTAACACCAAAAACCATAACAAATCCTTCAGATATATACATATATATATAGTAATGTAACAATAGCCAAGGCACTCCTAATTTACATGCAAAACAAACTGGTAAATACAAATTTAGTTGAAAGAGCATCACTTAACATTCACAATTTCTACAGCACTAACGATGTACGTGCAATTCCAAACCATACTGCTGTTCTATAAAGGAAGAAAACCAAGACCATCTGTTACAGAGAGATTTGAAACAGCTCTGCATGCCAGTGAAATCTACTTCTAATAAAATAGGCTGCAGCACACAGTACTATTTGTTTAATGTTTCAACATGCTCATGTGCACGTCGAAAGGCTGTTATAGTACTTGACACTACTAAATTATCTGCAAGAACACTATCTTTGGCAGTCAGAATTAATCCTTTAATTCCTTTCAAAGCAAGATCATTTTAGTGCAAGACCTGAAGTCCAAGGCATATACATTGTAACATCTTGAATGTAAACACAAAAAACTCCTAATAGTCAGTAGTTGCCTTAAAAAGAAACTTCACCAACTGGTCATAAGAGGCAAAAAGGAAGATACTCTATTTTGGGATAGCAATGAAGTACAGCAATATCAGTGTATACCAGTAATCAGACCATGCCAGTTTTTGAAATAAATCCATTTGCAAAGTGTTGTGAAAGAACAGATAAAAATATTTCATTCCATACTGTTCAGCAGATATGACAATATTCTAGCAACTACTGTCTTTTGCATTCCGCTTTTATCATATTATATAGCACTTACCCTGCTCTCTTCTAGACTGTCAAAAGGACCTGGAGGATCGTCCAGACAAAGAAATTCTCTCACTGCAAGACTTTACCAAATAAAAGAGAGTGAATTACTTGAAGTACAAAAAACAACACTTAAGAAATATTGCCCTTGTATCGTCCTATTTAAGAGCCACAAATACCTATCCTGAAATTTACTCCAAAGTATTCTAAAATAATGTTAACAAATTATTACATCTCAGTAATATCTCAACCAGGGACAGTATTTAAAATGTGACTTAAGAAATTGCACAAGTGTACATAAGAATTTTCAAACAGTTATTTTAGAACATGATTGTTTAACTCTTCATAGAATTTGTGCCTACATTACAACTGACAAGCAAGTTTATCACTTTGGTATTGAAGAGGTTTGAAAAAGTCTCCTGGTGAAAAATAAGTATTAAAAGATGGATGGAAATGTATGCTGCTAAAATTCATACACAGATCCCTTCAGGAAACATCAGTGGAACTAAGCATGGGTACTGAAACATGCTTGCATCTACATTTTGCTAAGATCATAATCCACCGACATATACACAGATACAGATATATATTATATATATACAGATATATATTATATAGATATATAAAAATAATTATTGAGTTACAAAACATTAAGCAGTGACAAGGGAAATGGGCCCTGGATATAGTACACAGTGTCTCTAAACATACTTCAAACTAATACATTAAACTTAAAATTGTGAAAATTGTTAACAGTTGTCCTCTCTTTCTGTGCATTGTTTTGCAAAGGCCAGAAGAAGGAAGTATGTGCAATTCTGTGGTTTGCTACGGAGTATTCTGAGCATCTTGCTCCTTTTATCTTCTAAGTTTAGATTACTTTTCACAGAACTCTTCAACATCTGCCAACACGTCCCTTCACTCACTTTTCTGAGACTCTCCTGCTCTTTTTACTCATTCTTCTATAAATAGCCTCCAATCAGAGTACCGTATTCACAATTAATTAGCAAGTAGTAGCGTATTAGCAATTATGTACTTGCACTCACTACTACACACCGCTAAATCGTCTCCTACTGCAACAAATGCACAAAAATGGAAGATGTGAATTCGGACTAATTCCCCATCTCTTCCTCTCACCCAAGTCCTGTGGAAAGGCGAGGGCAAAAGGAAGTAATTTTCTGCCATCTGCTCATTCTCAAATGAGTTAGACACAATAGAAACTCAAGTAATGAAACTTTTACTCAGCTACCAATCTAATCAAATAGCTTTGGGTTTGGTAAGCAAAATGAGGAAAGGCTCTGGAAAATATTAATATAAAATACATTGAACCTTTATTTCATTGTTGGATTTTTGTAAGCCTGCTTTCAAGTACTTATTGCATATGTGAAGGATGCAGGTGGGGATTTTTTGGCCAATATTTGGTGAGAATTCTTGTTTTCAAACCCACTTTCACCTCACCAGCCTTTACATAAACCTGAAAAAAGTTCTCATATAATCATAATTCATTTCCTCCCACTTAATTTATGTGACAAACATGACAAAATTTTCTTTTCAAACCCTCCACACTGTTTTAAATCAATCCATGATCTGTGCAAACTATGGCCTAAATCTGAACTACTAAAACAGCTTCTCCCATATACTCAAATATTTTTAAAAATCTGCTACTATTCTTGATACCAAGATTATAAATCCAATTAGCATACAAAACTGTAGATGTTAACAATGAATTACTTAATTAGAAAACACAACTGCAAAACAAATGAAAAGTTATCCAGGCACATGAAGTACATTTTCAAGGAGAAGAGCACAGATGTTTTTGTCCTCTCCAAATAGTTTAATCTGTTTGAATCCCTGGAAGTGTTCAAGGGTAGGTTGGATGGGGCTCTGAGCAACCTAATCTACTGGAAGGTAACCCTGCCCATGCAAGATGGTTGGATCTAGGTGATCTTTAAGGTCCCTTCCAACCCTAGCCATTTTATGATTCTATGTAGTGACCCTTTTCCCACATGCTGCTTAAGTCCATTTTTAATGGTTGCATAGTTCTTTTCATAAAGATGCTGATGAACCCACCGACATATACACAGATACAGATATATATTATATATATACAGATATATATTATATAGATATATAAGAATAATTATTGAGTTACAAAACATTAAGCAGTGACAAGGGAAATGGGCCCTGGATATAGTACACAGTGTCTCTAAACATACTTCAAACTAATACATTAAACTTAAAATTGTGAAAATTGTTAACAGTTGTCCTCTCTTTCTGTGCATTGTTTTGCAAAGGCCAGAAGAAGGAAGTATGTGCAATTCTGTGGTTTGCTACGGAGTATTCTGAGCATCTTGCTCCTTTTATCTTCTAAGTTTAGATTACTTTTCACAGAACTCTTCAACATCTGCCAACACGTCCCTTCACTCACTTTTCTGAGACTCTCCTGCTCTTTTTACTCATTCTTCTATAAATAGCCTCCAATCAGAGTACCGTATTCACAATTAATTAGCAAGTAGTAGCGTATTAGCAATTATGTACTTGCACTCACTACTACACACCGCTAAATCGTCTCCTACTGCAACAAATGCACAAAAATGGAAGATGTGAATTCGGACTAATTCCCCATCTCTTCCTCTCACCCAAGTCCTGTGGAAAGGCGAGGGCAAAAGGAAGTAATTTTCTGCCATCTGCTCATTCTCAAATGAGTTAGACACAATAGAAACTCAAGTAATGAAACTTTTACTCAGCTACCAATCTAATCAAATAGCTTTGGGTTTGGTAAGCAAAATGAGGAAAGGCTCTGGAAAATATTAATATAAAATACATTGAACCTTTATTTCATTGTTGGATTTTTGTAAGCCTGCTTTCAAGTACTTATTGCATATGTGAAGGATGCAGGTGGGGATTTTTTGGCCAATATTTGGTGAGAATTCTTGTTTTCAAACCCACTTTCACCTCACCAGCCTTTACATAAACCTGAAAAAAGTTCTCATATAATCATAATTCATTTCCTCCCACTTAATTTATGTGACAAACATGACAAAATTTTCTTTTCAAACCCTCCACACTGTTTTAAATCAATCCATGATCTGTGCAAACTATGGCCTAAATCTGAACTACTAAAACAGCTTCTCCCATATACTCAAATATTTTTAAAAATCTGCTACTATTCTTGATACCAAGATTATAAATCCAATTAGCATACAAAACTGTAGATGTTAACAATGAATTACTTAATTAGAAAACACAACTGCAAAACAAATGAAAAGTTATCCAGGCACATGAAGTACATTTTCAAGGAGAAGAGCACAGATGTTTTTGTCCTCTCCAAATAGTTTAATCTGTTTGAATCCCTGGAAGTGTTCAAGGGTAGGTTGGATGGGGCTCTGAGCAACCTAATCTACTGGAAGGTAACCCTGCCCATGCAAGATGGTTGGATCTAGGTGATCTTTAAGGTCCCTTCCAACCCTAGCCATTTTATGATTCTATGTAGTGACCCTTTTCCCACATGCTGCTTAAGTCCATTTTTAATGGTTGCATAGTTCTTTTCATAAAGATGCTGATGAACTCATGTATCTCTAGTACAGAATTCACTATGTAGAAACACTTCTGCTCACCATTTTTCTCCAATATCTTCATCCTTACATAGCTTGGTTCAAACAAATTTAAAAGGTATTTAATGTTTACATGTTGTTAGTAATTTTATTGTTATTAAAGGGTAACATTAAAATGGCATAACATGCAGCAATGCTTGTGAGTGAAAAAGGAAGTGTATAGAAAATGAAGTGTGCAAAAATACCCAATCTATATACATCACCTACTAACATCATGTCAAACCCTTTCTTTTGGTTTTGTTTCCCTAGAGCTGCTGACAGAAAACTGTGTCTTGTTCTGTAGTTTCTGAAACTACTTGAAACTGAAAGCTGTATATTCATTATTTTACATAAGAAGGTCAAGACACTTTAAAGCCACAGGTCACTGAAAACTTTGTGTTATCTAAAATATGCACCTGATGGCAAAACATTCATTTGCAGCCTAGCTTTACTCTGAGTCTGCTTTGCCCTGCTCTCCCCTCCCTGCATTACACCTCTACCTTTCCTTTAACAAACAGGAGAAAATTCTGCCTTAAAGTATCACAGAAATCTTCAAAGTCATGTAACAGAGATTATTTGCTGTATGTGGCTTCCTTCTCCTATGCTAGCTGACATTCTCAAGAGAGGCAGCAAGGCCAGTATACACCAGCATTAAGAACGGCAGCAAGGGGCAGTGCAGCACATGGGATCCCTGACATGACTCCACAGCTGACTGAGATCCTCCCTTTCAACCTCCTCCTCACACATGCTGGAGGCAGAGGAGAGCTGTCTCATCTGTAGAAGCCCAGATGACACTTCTGTTTAGCAAGTTAAACTTCTTTCTCCCACTTTGTGGATCGCATGACATGTTCTTGAACATATTAAGCTCCGTGGGTGGATTTCAATTTCAAACAAATCTTCGATACAAGGCACAATAAAATGAAGACTCAGTCAGTTGCACGCTACCTTACTTTTAATCTTCAAGCTACTTTGTGAATCTGATTAACTTAAAAAATAGGTACACCCAGTGAGGCTTCCTATCCCTTAAGGGCAACCTTCCCACTGTCAGTGTGTCTCAATGATAATACAGTGCAGAAAGAGAAAGGAAACAGACTTCTCCACAATGAGAAAAGGCTCATTTGGTTTTGGTGTGACCCAAGCAACTTGAATTACTTGCAAAACTGTATAAGTAGATGGTAAGCTTTTAAGAAGGAAGCAGGGTCAGATGACCACTGTGGCTCACATAAGGTGTGAATAATAACTTCCATCAATAGTCACTTATTTTCTGGTAACTGAGTAAAAAATCAGGCAGATTTCCATCTGCCTAGTTTTAATCACTTCCTGAGGAATCCAGACCTTCCACAGATCTAAACATTATAACCTGTTGATACAGCTTATGTTCTAAAGTTATTTCAAAACTTAATCTTCATCTCCTTACACAGTCAAGATCAGAATTTTCCTCAACACCACATTTCAGTTAACTATGTTTAAACAAAATGCAAACTGATTCCTTAAACATTTAAATTCCCTTTTGTATCTGATGACCAATGCAGTCTAAAAGTTACGTTTTGCAGGTTCATGTTGCTTTATGACAAGCACTCTTTCATCCAATAGGGGCAGTCATCAAGATTCAAACAAGGTAGCTGAAATACCAAACTAGCTGCAACAAAAGGAAACAAAATCTTCAGATTTAGTCAAGCAGACTAAAAGTCCATCCAGCACTAGTCTGTCTACTGCAGAACAAAAGCAATGTTCAAAAATTCACAGGCTGATCCCAATTTCTTTTTAAAACCATTTAAGCTTTGTCTTTGACATCTCACAAAAAAACTTCACTCAGTGTGAAAGACTGGAGATGACTATGAATCATCCAAAATACTAACTTCTTTACTCACCTTCCTTATCCCCTAATGACTTCAAATGTCCTGTTTAGCCAGCCCTTTCTCAAGATGACAGAGTAAAGACAACAGGACTCCTATTGCAGGAAGTTTGTCTGTAGCTTCACCTATCCTTGCTTGTCTTTTTACTTCTAACAGACCTTCTTTTGAAAGGAATGCTGCATTTTAGCACTGGACTATGTGGAAGTGAGATTCAGAATGCCACAGCAGTAACTTTCAAGTTCCTCTTCAACAATTTTATGCAACTTTTTGACTATTACTGAATACATAACTGATTCAGAAAACTATTAATACCAACAGTAATCTTCCAGGTTGTAAAAACAATTGAGTTTATGATTCTCTCTATATGTACTTACTAGTATTTTACACTTCATTACATTACATTTTATGTTAGTCACTCAGTCCCTTGGGATCCTTCTACAATACTTCATGACCTCACTACTTCCAGATATTCTGAACATCATTGTTGATAAATGTGATCACACAATCCATATATAATACACTAAACTTCTATCAATCCTGTTCACCTTGCCTTTCAACCATTTTACGAGCTCCCTCGTAACTACTTCTAAGATACATTTCCCTATGCAAAAGACATTATTTCTTTTCCAAGAATTACTTTTATTTACCTGCTTACTGGTTTGCGTTTTTTATTACAAGCAGTACCAACAGTCAGAATTACTAATCTCTAGTTCCCAGACTCAATAGTCTAATGCTGTATACAGAAGTGCCAAATGTAATAATAGCCAGTCTACTAAAAAGTAAAGTAGATATGAACACTGTATGGTCTCACACCACAGCTCAGCAATTTTACATTTTAGTTCCTTTAAAATACTTGAGGGAATGCTGTTTGCTTTAGATAATTTCCTACTCTTAAGTTTCTAGCAAAGTTTCAGATGAAGACAGTTCCTCATTCCTCAGATTCATTCCTCAAAGAAACTCTGGTATAGCAACCTCATAACTTGCTTCTTTCTGATGTTGGAAAAAGTTTTTAGAACTAACTGCTCTGCATCTAGCAACTTGCTTACTAAAATTCTCTTTTGGCCTATTTAAAATGATTTTTACATTTCATTTGCCAAAATTATATTGTACTCATCTTCCAGATTTGAAAGAATCTTCCACTTTGTATGAAAAAAGTTACCACTCAATGAGTCTTCTGCACTTTTTTGCTTAAACACATTGTGTGTTTTTTAGTCTTAAGCCTTTTTTGATTTGTGGTTTATATTTACTTATGTAAAGCAATCTATAAAAGTACTTCTATAACTACTATGTCACGTAAATTAGAAATCTTTAGTTTAATACACATTTAAAGAATGAATCCCATAATAGAGTAGGTACTTTCCATTATGAAAACCTAACATTCAATCTCAATACAAATTAAGACATCAGGAAGAACTTCTCACCATGAGGGTAGTAGTAACGTGCTGGAATAGGTTGCCCAGTGAGGCTGTGGATGCCCTCTCCCTGGATGTGTTTAAGGCCAGGTTGGATGAGGTCTTTTGCAGCCTGGTCTAGTGCGAGGTGTCCCTGCTCACAGCAGGGAGGTTGGAACCTGATGATCTTTAAGGTCCCTTCCAACCTTAACTATTCTATGATTAATACTGTATCAGTGCTGCTGTACTCAATGTACAGTATAGGAGCAAGCATGGAGTTAGTCCAATATTTTGAATATTACAGCTTTCAGTTAGTAGTTAACGATATACAATTCAAAATACTGTAATTGCCCTTCCTGCTTTGGTTAAGATAGGATTATTTTAATAGCACACCAAGTAATTCATGTAATGAACAAATGCACAACATGCATGTTAATGAAATTCCTTCCTATGTTGCTCAAAAATACTCTGCTAGAGTCTAGAAACCTATATGAGGACTTTGAACACAAAAAGATCCCAATCCAGAAGGAAAGTGTAATCACATACCAGTTAGCAATATCTTTGTGAGCTACTAAATTCTGGAGGAATGCTTGTAGCCCCAACTGTCTATCTTCCAAGAAGTCAGGATTATAATTATCCTTGAACCAGCGCTTCGGAGGAAGAGCGAGCCGAAAGCCTGGAAACATATCTTTTAGCTGAAATAGAAAGCAAATCCAAATGAAGAAAACCAAGAAGAAAGACTTGATGAAATACTGAATTTGACACAGGCATTGAATTTACTCAGAATTATGGCATCTTTCTCTCTTCCGTTAAGTTCAAGCACAAGGGAAGCCTTAACGATAGGTACAAAGCAAATTACAGCACAAATTGTGGACACTGTTCTGTCACTTCTGCAGTTTACACAATCACATGAAACAAGAGCAAACAACTTAGCTTTGTTATTTAATGTTCTTGAGTCTCATACTTAACACCTTTTAATTAGTAAACAAAACTGTATATAAAAGCATCAGATGAGTAAGCATTTCAGTGGTGTTTCTTCTAAAGCACTCAAGGATACCAAGTACTATATAAATAAAATATATAAAACCCCATTGCAGATCTACAACTCTGCAACTTGTCTTTTTAGGAGGGGCTACCAGAATGAATTACAACACACAGACAAGAGACTTCTAGTAGAGTCGCTCCTTGTACATCCAGAAAATAAGCATTTCAGCATTTCATGAATGAAACTCAAAACCTAGTACTAACAAACAAAACTGTGTTTTTGAGTTACTTAAATAGTAATGGAATATACGTAATGTCAGAAATATCTAGAATTCTTCTCTGAATTAAAACATGAAATATGCAAATGAATGGAACATGAGATTATGTAACCATGGACCGGTCCTATAATGACATGCATTACTTTCTAATATGCATGAAGATTAAAAAAATGAACACTTTCATAAAAAACAATTTTTAGATGCCTTTTCTTAGAAGGGATTCTTGACACAGAAAAATCTCAGAAGATTACAACCAACCGGAAAAAGCAAAAAGGCTTTACAAAATGCAGTGTTACTTCAGCAGCCACAATAAACACTTAATCTTTTTCTGAAGACAAAATCAAGTGGACTTTTGATGGGGATGTACTGCATACACCTAATTTATTAGTATGAATATTCCAGTGACACGATTCTAGAATCCACCTTGAAAACAGTTTAGCACTCAGTACATAGATCCAAGATAATTCTTCAGTGGGTGCCTTGATCCTTACACAGCAAAATTTAAGCCCTCTGACAAAAAACTTTATGTATTTAACTACTCTTTTTGGAATCTTTCTTTTTTCTTTATGACTAGCTCTTTCAGCAGATTAAGTTTTTAAGAAGTTAAAACAAACACTGTAGTTTAGCTGAAATCTCTCTACACAGTTTAAAGGAAGAACCATGCTAGCGGATCACCCTTACTCATACAAATACCAATTCACAGCATAAAAGCACTTTTTTAACATGACAAGCATTGTGTATTAAATAGCTCAGTATAACTACTAGTTTCTTATTTTCTTACTACTTACTTAAGTCTTACTGACTTTCATCTTGACATTAGATTCTTCCTGATATTTTTATCTTTGATCATTCAAAGTTCCTTAATCTCTTAACACTAATACAGCATAAATAACTATCCTTTATGCTCCATAATCCTGCTTAAGTTAATAAAATACTGAATAGAACTGAACCCTGAAAAGGTTAACAAAAGGAGTTCCTGTTTCAGTTGTAGAGAGGACCACATATAACCACTCCATGGAAAGCTCTTCAACCATACAAATTTCTACTTAATGGTAATTTCACTCGCTTAGTTATGTAGATCATCTCATTTATTTCTAAGGAAATAATATGCCCACACACAGATCCACAAAGTGTAAGGAAGCTATCTGCTGTCAGCAGACTAATTTTCAACAGCATTGTCCTGGGGCATTCTTCCTTTAACACTCCTCAGATACAGCACTAAAAACTGTGAGTCAGACAAGTTGTGCCAGCTGTCATTGCTTGCTTGGATGCAGCAGCTTTTCTAGATATCTCTCGCCTACATCACCACATGACAGATTATGGATGTCACATGAGGCACAGCCTCAAAGAGAAACAGTTAACCTCTCATTTCTTAAGACAGGCCATTTAATTATTTGTTCAACATCTCTACCAGTACAGTAAAAAAACTTTACAACATTCTTTTCCCATTGTTTTTTGAGACTGATGAGTATTCTTCACATACTTCTCCAATTCATTAGGTGTTCTTAAACAAAATCTATGCATCTAGCCAGGTATTTTATCCTTTGCTCCAACCCCTTCAAATCCCATCATGTTCCAACATCCACTAAGATTAAATTTTCCATTAATATTATAGCAAAAAGCAGTATTTCAGTCTTTGCTCTATCATTTGTTAATTTGCTTTCCATAGTTGGTTCTCAAGTAATGGATCTGTTATTTTACTGCCTCCTTCCCTTACTTTTGATTTCTAATGATTTATAGAATTTTACCTATTGCTCTTCACATCCTGTGACAGTCCATCTTGCATCTCAGCACTTCTGCCTCAGTCTTCAGAATCACAGAATGACAAGCTGGAAGAGACCTCAAGGATCATCTGGTCCAATCTTTCTAGGTACTACTATAGTTTATATGAGATGGCTCAGCACCCTGTCAAGCTGAGACTTAAAACTGTCCAATGTGGGAGAATCTACCGCTTCCCTTGGGAGACTATTCCAACATTTGATTATCCTCCTGGTGAAAAATTTACCTCGTGTCTAATTGGAATCTCCCCAGGAGCAACTTGTGCCCATTACCCCTTGTCTTTTCCATGTAACTGCTTGTAAACAGGGAGTCTCCATCTTCTTGGTAGTCACCCTTTAAGTACTGGAACACTGTAATAAAGTCTACGTGAAGCCTTCTTTTCCCAAAGCTGAACAAACCCAGTTTTCTCCGCTTCTTCTCATGTAGCAGGTCCTCCAGTCCTCTGATCATCCTTGTGGCCCTTCTTGGGACCCTCTCCAGCCTGTCTACATACTGTTTGTAGAGCAGGGACGAAAACTTAACAGAATACTCCAGGTGTGGTCTGACAACCACCGAGTGGGATGATGCCTTCTTTATCTCTCCTGGTGATGCCCCTGTTGATGCAGTCCAGTATCCTGTTGGCTTTCTTTGCCATTGCAGCACACTTTCTGTACTGCTCTATTTGTACTTTTAAAAATTACTTTTGACTTTGAGATCACCATGTGTACTAATGGTGGTACCAATACCGGCAATATCTCATATTTCCACTGCATCCAATTATTTTGCTATCATCTTCCATTTGTCTGCTTTCAGTACATAGGGTGTTTTCATAACCTTTTCATTGCCTGGATAGTAAATACCTTTGACAATCAAATAACTTGTTGCTTACACTTGAAATCTGTTCAAGTCTTAACCTGCTGCTCCACTTACTAGCTTCATTCATAAAAGAAGAGTTCACGGTTTTCAGCACTTTTACTCCCATTCATTTCTATTTCATTAGCTGTTCCTTACTAAAAGTATTTGCCTTATTTACTTTCATTGAGAGATCAGGGCAAATTAAGAATGCTATTACTGAGTTCACACTGCTTCTATTAGTTAGCTGCGCTGCACTCATTCATCTCGTCCCAGTTTTATCTATGCATGTCCTGCCTGTGACATTATCCCTATTCTCATGTTCTCAACTTTTAGCTACTGTCAAACTCCAACTGTCACGTATGCCTGACACATACAAAGCATAGTGTTTCTTTGGCTTTTCCTAGTCTTCCTGAAATGTAATTTCCCCTCTCTTGATACTTCAAACTAATGCACACAGTGATTGATTATTCAATTCAGTTGGCCAAGCTTCTAATATTTCAGAGAATGAATAAATTGACATCAACCTCAGGAAGAATGGTGAAGAAAAGGATTTACAAGGTAGTACGTTTTTCTTGTTTATGCTCGATTTCTAGAAGAATTCAGAAAATCCTGAAAGTATACATGACATACAACTTTGTGTGTGTATTTGCCATTACAAAGCAAGGAATTGCAAGTGTTGTGCCATGCCTGTTGAACCACTGATGTGTGCATATAACAACTTACTCTTCAGTTTCTAAGAGATCATGCTTCTTATAATAGAGAAATGACAACTCCAAGAACTGAAACATGCCGTAACTCTGAAGCTTCTCGAGAATTACAGAACAGTAACAAAATAAAAGCCTGGATATGAACTGAAAGATGAAAAAGCTTCATTGACAAAAGGGAAAAATGAAGTTCTTCCTTTTTAACAGAAATTCTAGTACCTATAAATCATGTTAAAAGCCTAATATTTTTGTCTAAGATTTGACTGAAGACTAAGGACTTCACCTGGAAAAATCTAAAGATCTATTATAAAATTAATATTGGTGTGTTTTGATTTTTCAAACTACTGATAACCACACTAAAAATCAATGCATGTAAGCCAGTTTTTGGCCTGTTATCTGGCAGAGCTGACCAAAATATGAACTGTTTTATGAATTGGCTTCTGATATTCTGATATGATACTTCATCATGTGGGAAGAAGTCAGGCTTTTGCTAGCAGGAAGACATACCTTAAGATGAACTAAATAAAAGTTCTATTTCCATGCAGAGGATCCAACTATTAAAGAATTAATTTCCTAATCTATGTGATAAAGGAATAAATATAAAGTATTAAGCACACTAACAGCTTAATATGAATAAATACGTTCTTTACTCTAGCTGTAGTTATTTCATGTATCTCTGAAAAATATTAGGAGTCATATGTTTTTCACTCTTTATGATAGTATGTTTCATACGCAGTACAAAGACAAGGCAAGAAAAAAAGGGCCAAAAAAGTGAGACAAAATTAAACATGTGAGAAGAGTGCGCCAAGTTAGCTGAGAAATTTGGTATTGTATGGTTCTCACCTTGTCATTAAGCCTGGAGAAGTCAGTGTATCGTCTGAAAACCACCCAACTTTCTTCTGGACTTCTTTTTACCAGTATTTTGTACACCTGTGCAAAAAACCACAAGTATCAGAAAAATGTGCAGAACTTAAGGCTGCATTGATTGAAAAGCTGGTATTTATTTCTTAATGAAAACAATCTCATGAATTTTTAAAAAAATCCTTAATTGGATTAAAAAAAAAACCCTAATTATCAGTACAAACAATATAAATTAATTTCAGAATTCAGTTTCTGTAATTCCTAAATACATGGAATTATTTTATGTCTGTAAGAAACTGTGAAAACTGCATCCCAACTCTGTCCCAGCAAAACCCAAGAGTCTCAGTTATCAAAGAGGTAAGTGAAGTATATTCTAGTGATCTAATTTAACCTGTGCTGAATTACAGTTTTACTCATCAATCCTTGAGGCCTATCTGTTTTTAAGATGACTGTAATAATCACTAACTGAGTGTCATATTGTTTTAAGATGTCTCATCTGACTTGACTCACAAGGAAAAGTGATGCAGGATAAAAATAACATTTTGCTTTGCTTCCATTTGTTTTAAGCATTAGGTTTTGTATTTCCAGGCGAATATGACCACTTGCCTAAATAACCACATCAGAACAATTATACTGAAGTAATGGATTCTCTGAATCATGATTGAGCAAGGCAACAACACAGCAGTGCCACTCTCCTATTTAAACGCAAATGGATAAATACAACATTAATATTTAAAAAAAAAAAAAAGTACCTTTTCAGAGGACTTATATTCAAATGCCTGAATACAAAGAATCTACCAGCACATAATTTCAACTAAAATTATTAACTAGTGTCTAGTAAAGAAGGATTCTCATATCACAACTTTGTATTTTCAACACAAGGAAAAAGAGGCTCTGTACTGGGTTAGCTTTTGCAGTTTAAGTGTTCCCTAGTTTAAAAAAAATAAAATACAGGGAAAAAAAAAGCTATTTTTGGAATCACAGTGATAAACAATCCTTTATAGTTATTTAGCTAAATTTTATTTAAAACATCTTCAAATATGCTACACAATAAAATCTTTCCCAGCATGTGAGGTTTTCACAGCAGGTTATCTTTGCTGATAAATTTATTTTTCTTGTTGCAGTCCCAGATGAGAAAACCCCACTGCTAAGCCAACTTCTGTACACATGCAAGACTGTTTTTAGCACTTTTGTATACTATATTCAACTTGCAGACAACTACACAAACTGCAGATAACTATGGTGCAAATTAAAATAATTTTTCAGCAAATACTTCTCTTACCTACTTTTTAAACACAAAATTCCACTTTCAAGCAGCAGCATCTGTGGAAGTCATGGACTTTGACAGAAGCAGTATTTCAGTCACTAACAAAAAGCTATTATATTTTAAAAGTCATGCTGTGAGACACATCCGTGAAGCCAGCATTAAAATGTAATTCTTCTGCCTTGCATTTTCTGCATAAATGTTTGTCCAAATGTTTTAGCTTTCTTGTAATAACAAAAGCATAAAGAGTTTTATTTTATGGAAATTGTGAAGACTTTTTTGTACACAGCAAAGCATCAAACAAGAGGCTTTGGAATATGCTTGCTGATTTACCTGCTGATTAGTATTCTATTTTTTCATTCTGCTAAAAGTTTTGCAGAGACATAGCTTACAAATGCATATGTGAAAAAATCCAGCTAGTTTGACCCTCACTGTGAATGGTTTCCAAGTAAGTAACAAACAAACAAAAAAAGTCTTCACAAATTATGGTCATAAGAAAAGCAATGAGATCATGATTGCTGGCCACAAAAACCAAAAGGTCGACCTGAAACAAACATCCTTGGTTTTGTTGCCAAAGTTGAAAAAAGTCTGGGTTGTAGTTCATTTTTTTCAATGAAGGACTACCAAAAAAATAATTAATAATCAAGATTTGTAATGAATAACAAGAAAAACTAGATAATTACAAAACTAGCTGTCAATTCCTCCACACAAGGTTTTGGGAAAAAACTACAAATTAACTCAACAAATTCAAGTAATGCAAATCAATCCTGAATTGCCTTATTCCACAAATACAAAACATTCAATGAAAAGATGCCAATTAGTAACAATCTGCAGCTGACTCAGCACCTCATAACGATTTCCAGTTGGCTTAAAACAAAAAGTGCTAACTGAACATTTCAGGACTGCCAACTCACTGAGACCAATTGCTTACAAACAGAGATGTTTTCCAGTCTAGGCTTTTTTTGCCATAGGCTTCAGCAGCCACATGCTCCAACATGCACTGACATTTAACTCCTGAAGTAAGTACATTAGCCAGGTTTCATAATTCAGATTTTTATTTTTGGGAACTATGAGATCCTAGCAGTAATAAAACTTCACCCACTGAATCTCCTCTTTTTACAGATTATTTCAATTTACTTTCCACTGTCTTCCATCTCACTGATTTTGCATTGCTCAACCAAAACTCCTAGCACTAATTACATGATGGTTTTAATGCACAATAGCAAGCTTATTGTCAGCATGGAACTGAAAACAAAGTGAATTATCTGCTTTCAGAAGCAAACACAGCAACAGAAGGGAACTCAGAAAGATCCAAAATGCAACCAAGCATTTTAATAATGAAGAACATTTCAGTTGTACTGTAACCTGGTCTCCTACATAAAATGAAAACTTTGACTCCTTGTTTTGAATATAGCGAAAAAGCATCCAACATGCACACTGGAATATGCCTTGGCATATCTTCAGTCTGTCAATATCACAAGTATTTAGTTTTTAGAGTATTATTTAAAAGGAATCCCTTAATCTACATGTAAAAAAATTAAAAAGTAGCATTATTCAATTCTCTGCAAAAAGGACTTCATGACTTTACTAGTAATTGAACTGTCATAAGGGCATTAGCTTCCACACTTTTCTAGTATTTAAAAATAGGAGAAAAATTTATCCACTGTTTCCTCCTCAGCTACTTGTGAATAATGTTAATCTCCTGAAGTAACACAGTAAGTAGGAAAAAAACCCCCTTACATTGCTGAATTATCTCAAATGTTTCAACTGTACAAGAACAAATGCACACATGCCTCAATGTATTTATAGGATGTAAAAAACTGTATTGCCAGCTACAGTGTATTTTAAGAAAAATCAATACAAATCAGTTAAGCTGGTGCTCTGTCATGAGATGCTGCATACGTGACATCAACTTATTTTCAGAACAAATTAACCCTTCCTAGAAACTAAACCTAGCAATGCAAGAAGTTGTAAACTACATGTATGCGCTTTAATTCAAATACTGAATGTTTTTAATGTCTGTAAAAGGTAAGTATCAGGGTGTCTTATAATTAATTTCAAATAAAAGACTACATTTTTAAAGACATTAAACTATCCAGAACTTCTAGAAGTCCAGTTTCACAAGAAATTGCAACTTTGCAAGGAATTCCTAACTTTCCTAGAAGAAACTGATGCCAGAAGTAAAAGTAATCCCTTGTATTACACGTACACAATTACAGGAAAGCCTGTTTCTGAGTCTCAATTTTCCCACCTGTATAATGGGAATGATATTTTCCTGTCAGAAAGCAGTTTTTTGAAGCTAAATTTGCATTTGTAAAGTGCTCCAACATCGCTGAATGGTGGGATTAATTACTGAAAGAGAATGCAAAGCACATTCAATTGTTATCTTGTCATTACAGGATAACTATACCATCCCCGAAACTTACAGTGAATTTTGCCCTTTCCTCCATCACCTCATAACCCAGTATAGTAGGTGTGGACGGTCGATCTTCCCAACTCCTGGAATCTGTATTCTGCTCTATTTCTTCTACAGGTTGAGTACAGTACTCTATGGATGTATCCATACCAGTAAACTTAGTCCTAACAAGTGGACTACTACATACAGATGACGTAGAACCAAGCTGGTCAGGCACGTCCATCTTTTTAAAACTACCAATTGTAGAGTCCTCCAGCGGTCCCTTTGAGGAGCTGGAACTCGTTGAGATGCTTCCAAAAGAAGAACGTCTTTGGTTTCTGTTTGTAAAGCTGGATGATGAATTTCCAATAGGAATAGGAACAGGAACATATGGTGTTGCCATCCTTCATGAAAAAAGCCTCAGTTTTTGGTCCAGGAGTTTAAGGTTCATCCACTGTATAAGCCATGTTTTCTTTCCTTTTCAAGAACAGTATCTGCAGTGAAGGATAGAAAATACTGTTGTAGTTTTTAAGTGAAAGCAACGCTAAGATACTGCTTTGGAATAATTTGTATCAGCAGTGAGATGGTAGGTAGCAGTATTGATGGTTAAACATTTTTTTCGCAGGAATTTGGCTTCATTTAAATTGTTGGACAGCTTTACAGCAGTTCTGTGTCTTTCACAGCTATTAAAATGTAAATTACAGAAAGTTAGATTGCATAAGAAGAATTTTTTTTTGTCATTTTTGATTTAGGTGCTACTTTGACTGAAAAAGCAGCAATTTGTAGACATTGAAGAAGCTAGTGTAGTTTCAGTGGCTGATTTCTACACCCAGTACAAAAGCTTTTCTCAGAATTGCTTCTGAAGGACAGCTGGTGCAGACTACATGAATCAAACATGCATGCAACATTATATATTACATAAAACAAAAGACAACACAGTTAACAACTTAGGTGAAAACATATTTGAATATATTACATATTCACTGAACAACTCGTGTTCCACGTAATGCTGCAGACATTTGTAATGACATTAACTGGGCCCATTTTCTGTAGCTTGAATTGGAGCAATTAAGTTTTACAAGCATGCACATCAAAAGCAGTGTTGTAACAGCAGCTAGTTTTCTATTCCAGCACATTAAAATGGAAAAAAACAAGTTAAGGGAAAAAAAGAAAGAAAAGATTCAACACTTCTTCTTCAAGAAAACAAATTCAAGCCAAAATTGCTATGTTGTGAGCATGTGTGTGTGTACACTTCTGCAAAAAAAAAAAAAAAAAGGCAAAAGATGGGCAGAATACTTAATAGTATTTAATACTTAATAATATTTAAGTATTTAATACTTTTAGGACAGCAGTATCATACTGCCAAAAAAGCATTATCTCCTTTTAACAAAGTACCCTAAGCAGATTCTTACAAGATGCAAATTAGATGCCATCTTTTTGGATTAATAGGATTTGAGTCACCACCCATTTCACCCAAGAGTATACCAATCAACCTTGAGACTGCAGGCTGCTGTGAAATGGGAAACCATCAACCTAATTCACATACATACACACACACATATATATATATATAAAATCAATCATCTACAGGAGCAAAAACCAAATGAGTTTCCTAATTGCCAGGGTGAAGTGATGTTTGCATTCTGTTGCTCTAAATAGATCTTAGCAAGCACGAATAAGGAAATAAATATGAAGTGAACCAGCATCACCATGAAAGAAAAATGTTCTTAAAAGAATTCCTTGAATGAAGGAAAAAACAAACTTCCTCATCCTCTCACCTACACAGGGAAATCTTCACACACTCTATGTTAGAAAGCTCAGTGAACTTGACCAAAGAGAACAATTTCAAACTTACAGTGCCTCCAAGAGAGTACCTCTGCTCCACTAAGGGGTGAGGCTGGATACTAAGCAGCACCAAAGGGAGCAGAAAGGTCAGTATCATAAACCCCTGCTTCTATTGCAGCACAGTCCTGTGCTTGCTTGTGTGACTTAACTCCACGTGTCAGACAGATGACCTGCTTCAGCATCACGTAATTTGAAAAAGTCAAGTCACACCTGTCTTGGAAACAACACATTCTCTTGTAGCTAGACTAAGATTTTCCCACCTTTATCTCAATAATTGAGATTTTCTGCCTCAAACAATAAAGATAGTATTTTTTTTTAATTGAGGTAGAAATATTGAGACATTAAGTATTCTCTGGTAGATTTTCTCTACCAATACTCTAGTCTGTACAAAATACCAAACAAGGAACTCCTTTTACCCTTGACACTTAAGTGACTCTTCCATGTTAGCAGCATAAGAAACTGGAAGCAACCCCTTAAAAGAATGCCCCACCCAGCTATGTTCCGGGGAGATGTGGGAATCCCTATAAAAAGAAGAAACCAATTGAGTCCAGATTTGCAATGAATCAAAGGATCTGTAAATAATAATTAAAAGTGGTTATTATATTCTGCTGCATGACTTTATGAATCTGAACTAGGAAAGGAAGGTAAGTCCATATCTCAGGGAACCTAGTGAAGTTCACTCAGGAGTTGGTGGAAGTTTGAGGAGAAAAAAGGCTGTACTTTTCATCACTTCTTGGAAAAAAAAGAAAAAAAACCCCATTTTTGCCCATTGCAGTACTTGTGAACAGTGTCTTTCCCAGATGAACTTCTTTCTTTAAAGTGAAATGTCAGTCAAGAACTTACTATTGCGAGCTTACATATTTACTACTACTCTTAAATGAACAGGCATTACTGACAGTCTGTACCTATACTGGCAACCAACACAGCTCTACATGAACAGACCTGCAGAATAAAGCACTTCGTGTTAGGAACCCAGTTATCTACACTGCCCATGCTTCAGCTCAAATGCTGGTTCACAACCTTAGGACTCAAACTTTTTCTAAGAATACAGAAGTTTACTGCTAATTCATGCAACAAAAGGGAACAGAAAATTTCATTAAAACCACTTTTAGATAAGCCATATCACTCCTTGCTTACAACAGGGCAACAAGAGGGAAGATTTAAGTGCACAGTCTGTTAATACCCAAGCTTCACTACAGACTGGTCTGGCATGTCACTGCATTAAGCCAGTCGAATCATTGCACCACAAAAACTTTCTGAACAAACAGATGGCTCATGACACGCAAGAGATAATCAAGCAACTGCACTCTGTTTCTTGTGTAGATACGTACTTGCTTTACTTTAAGAAATTTGTTTCCTGTTAAAAACCCGTATTTGGTCTAGTTTGATTCCCAAGTGTAAATTAAGAATGCTGTTAAGAACAATGCAAGTTGATGAAACGAAAAGAACATATGCTCAAGTACAGAAGTGCTAGATCTGAAACAGGATAGGACAGAGTCCCAGGAACATTACAGTCACATGCTACAAAACTGCATGACACCAACTTACCCTACCGGGTGTTTACAACAGCCACCTCCCTTTTTGCGGTGAAGCAAATAGGCTATAATAAAACCACTTTAAAAGGGTTTGCCTCCAGCTTGCAGCTATCGCAATTCCAAACCCTTTTAAGCTAATGGTTTGTGTGCTCAGTGAGAAACATGCAAGCCGCACGATTCAAGGATAATAGATAAGAAACAAAACAATCCTTACTTAACAATTCTAATTGGATTTCGAAGACTTTCAGCTATGCAATTCTATTTGTGATCTGGTTACACACATTAGGTCTCTGGACAATGCAGCCAGGCTGACCTCTGCTGTACAGGATTTAAGTACTACCATGGAAAGTCAACTGAAGAACCAGGGGAATTTGACAGATAAATTGGCAGGTTAGGTTTTATAAAGCTTTTTAAAAATATTAATTGTGTTAGTATTGTGTGTCAACCAAGTTTCTTAACAACATAATTCACCTGCTCAGGCACTAAAACTTGGGGCCTATTTATCATACCTCGTACATACACACACCGCAGCACACAGAGGAGGGCAACTCCTGCCTCGAGTCTGTTCCCGAATTGGAGGCAACTGAAATAAACTCCCCCCGCCACCTCCTCCGCAATTCCAGAGCAGGATGTGCTTACGTTGCCTACCTCTGCGAGTTAATGGTTCTGAAACAGACGGAAACCAAGGAAAGTCTGCAGCTATGGGTCACCGAGCCCCCGGCACGGCCCTGGGGTGGCGAACCCCGGGCGCGGGGCGGGCCGAGCCGCCGGACGCTGCGGTTCTGCCGGGC